GTTCCGAACTCGCTGACATGGACCTTGAACTGGTCCCTTGGAATCTCATCGACTGGCCTTTCATCAACAGCATCGACGTAGTACGTCCTCTGAATACCTACCAGCTGATCCTCAGGCATCGGCAATGGCAGTGATGATGCTGCAAAGACACATTTTCGACTTCTGTGGTGAACTCTTCTCAACACAAGCTTGTCAAGGTCAACTTCCCAATGGTCATGATTTCGGTTCTTTCCTCTTCTTGGGATTTTCTGGAACAAATCAATCTCCCTGGGACTCTCCCCGGGTGATTCGGGTGCTCTGTACCCTTCCGGTACTTCTGTTGGCTCATAGCCTTCACTCATCCGATCATCCTCGATAGGTTCCGGATTCTTTCCGATCTCATATGGATTCGTTGGATCCTCTTGCATTGGCGTCGGTTCGGTATCCGCTTCCTGTCCCTTTGGCGCATGGAACGGAACATCATCAAACTCTGGAAATCTCTCTCCAGTCTCTTTCTCTTCATGCTCGCGATGAAATCTATCCCACTCATCATCGATAGACTTTCTTTTCCTCTTCTCTCGTTCTGACTCTGATTCTGGAACTCTTTCTCCCGACTCTTGCTGAGATTCAGGCTTTACTTCGGTATCCAAGCCTTCTTCCAATCCTTCAGGCACGACGGGCACAGACGACTCGTCTTCGATCGGTACTATCCGTTTGTACTCTTCTTCAAGATACTTTTTGTAACGGTTCCGACACTTCACTGAATGACCTGTTTCACTCCCGTTCGAACAAGCTGGACATCTCGAAGTCTTATTCACTTCACTCCAATACCAAGGTGGTTCCCCTTCATGGATGGGCAAATCAACCAATTTCTGGGGTTTCGAAAGATCATTCGGTAGTCTTTCAATCCTGTCTGGCTTCACTCCACTCTTGGAATTTGGAATTTCACACAACATCCCAAGTCCAGCGACAAAACGAATCGGTGAGGCAATCTTCAAGTCTCGAACAGGCACAACCACAGTCTCATCCTGTGAACCTTCGAAGGCAACGAAGTGACCTAACGAAGATAACTTTGGGGTCAAGTAAATGCCTGGAACAAAGTGACGAGCGTTTGCTTCTCTGACTTTTTCCAAGTACCCATCAGTCGGCCTGGCAAAAACCAAACATCCAAATGGCATCACACGATTGGTGTTTGGGACTTCTCCTGAACTAGTTACACTGATGCGCATGCGTTGATACGGTGTCAGCGAACTGTTGGCTTGCAGCTGAAATGCATTGTGGACATGACAAGCGTTTGCTGCGGCATATCTTTCACTACCTAGCATCAACCCGTGCTGGTACAACACTGTGCGAATACATCCTAGTTGAGTCTTGAGGGTCCTAACTGCTCTCTCGGCTCCAGTTGCGTGTCTTCCTGGGCGACTGGTCTCATGCCTTGAGACCACCTTCAGTCGAATGAGTTCAGAAATGAGCGCAGTCAAGTCACGGCCTTCATCACTGAGAACCATCGCACCTGTGGACGAACAGTGGTTGATGGCAGCTGTCAAGACACGAATCGTCGAAGCTTGATCTACATAGATTGCAGCTGTTGCTATCATACCATGCGTCCGATTCCAAATCACAACATACCTATACATGTTTGGAGACTTTGGATGGGTGCATAGGTTGGCAATATCCATCTGGATCTCGTTGGTGACTTGATCTGTACGTTTTGGCACTCGTTTCAATCCCTTGCTCATGAGACAGACTGCACAGCTTGGATCATAAGGTGTGTGACTCTGCAAAATGTGCTTAGCTAGTCTGTTACCTCGTAGCTTGATGGGATACTCGAACTCGAACTCAGGCCCTGACTCAACGGTGCAAACGATTTCTTTTTTGCGCACGACGTCGAATGCTGGATTCGAAAAATGCGCTCGAGCTCTTATCGGCGGCTCGACTCCCCTTTTGGGAGGAACCTGGACGCTTTGGATATCGTGTCTTCCTTCGCGTCCGACGCTTCGGACATCGCGTCCTACTTCGCGTCTTCCCTCTTGTCCGAAAACTTGGACAGATGCTCCTGCAGTTGCTTGCGGTACGCAATCTCTTCCTCGGACAATGGCGCTTGAAGCGCTTCTGGCGGCGTAGAGGGAATCTCCCCCACCATCGCCGTCGGTTCCGACATTGCCGTCGGTGCCGGCGTCAGAACTACTCCTCCCGCTGCCGGTGGCATAGCGGGTTGCTCGAGAGAGAGATTCGCCTCGCCTTTCTCAAATTCTCTCGATCTTCCTCTTCTGCCCTCCATTGCAGGAGATCTTGTTTTCCCTTCTCGAACTCTTCCTGCCGACGACGCTGGATCTCCTTTCCGTGTTAAGGCCTGGGCCATTCTCTCTGAACGATACAGCGCCTTCGCCTTTCAGCGTTCTTCCTCTTCCTTCTCTCGGCGGGCAAGTTCCTTCTCCCATTCGATCGCTCCTGCTTCTCGCTCGGATGACAGCTCTGTGCGAAACAAATGTTCTCGCTGTTCGTCAGGTGCTCCAGATATTTCGGTACTTTCTTCGCACCCGATCCCGACGCCGAGGACTCCTTCTCTCTCTTGAGGGTCGCGGTACCCCTCTCTGCTTTCCTGAGCAGATCTTGGGCTTTCTGAGCCAACATTTCTTCTGCCACCGCTTTCTGCTCTTCGGTAAGCGGTCGACTCTTCGCCTTGGGTTTGGTCGGCGGCGTCTTCGGACCAGGAACCGATGGTGTCTTCGGCTCCGGAATCTCGGCAGTTGCCGGTGGAGCTGGCGGCTGAACAGGTGGCTTCTTTGGCGGCGCAACCGGTGGTTGCTTTGAAGGACCTTTCTTATAAAGTAGGTGTTTGTTTTTTAAAAAGAGGTGTTCAATCTGGGATATTATTAGAGTTTGTCTGGACCTGGAATAAGAGTCAGTCTTCAAACTGTCCTATGCTTATTGTCTTGACCTCTCTCCACACACCCATTTATTTACCGGCCATAGGTTTGCAACCCGAAACGAAAGACGCGTGGAAAAGATTTCAATGTGTGCATTTTTGCCCGTTCCTGCTTTTTTTCCAACCAAATTGTCACTGTGCCCGCAGCAGAGACGGCCCAAGTCGCTTGACTTGAAGTGACGACACGATGATCATGATTGCGGCCTTCACCTCGAAGTTAGATGCTGTGAAGAGAGAGCATCGGCTGCACATGGCAGCCCACCACACAGGCGAACACAGAGCCCTCCTGCAAGCCACTGGCAATGACAAACACAGAAGCGTCCAAATCCTCAAGCAAAGCCTTCTTGCGCTCGAAGGAGAAGTTCGAAATTCTGTCGCCAAAACTTCTCGAGACTCGGCTGCGCGCCACTTCGGCAGGGTCTGTCTTTTGGAGCCCTTCTTCCAAAGTCTCAGGAGTCAGCTCAGGCGGGCCACTGCCCTCGTGTTCCAGATAGCGCCTTGCAAAGGCTGTCAAGATGACAACAAACTCCAAAGCCTGCTTTTGGAAGCTGCAGCAGCAACTCACAAGAGGTTGCAACTGGTAGCGTGACTCTTTGATAACCTCCATGATGCAATGTTGGCGTGGCGTTTTCGCATATGCCGGTCTGATTCCGCCACGCTCAGGCCCTGAAATGGCTTTTACAGAAGACATGTTTACCAAATAGGTTTGATTTTGGCTTCATGAAGGCGTTTCTGCGCAGAAGCAATTGTCAGACCAGTGTCGGAGTAAAATGAAAATGATGCTTTTGAGCCGCCTTTATGTTCACAATCGTGCCTCTGTGTTTTTTTAGGGGGACAAGTTTGGAGCACTGCCCACTGTGTTTGTTTGCAAGTCCATTTGACCAGCTTGCTGGTCAAAGGTCAAAGGCCAGCTTGCTGGCTAAAAAATCATTTTGTTTTGCTAGTGTTTTTGGCCCAGTCACAAAAGGTGTCAACATATAGTTATTCGGCCCTGGCCCTGCCCCAAATGGCTCCACGTGTTTCCAAGGCTTGCAAGGCTAAGGCCAAAAAGTCGTCCAGTGGCCGCGATCACCCTGTTCCACCGCTGGACCAGGAGCTGAAGATCAGGCGCGTCCGCTTGCCGGGCAAGGACTATGACCACTTCACTGACTTCAACGAATACTTGGTGAGCACTGTGGAAAGCCAGCCACAGGACCTTATGCTGCTGGTGTTGAATTCAGTTACGCTCGAATCTTCAGACTGCTTGTCGCTGAATTGCAGCGGGCCACGGCGGCAACAAGCGCTACCTGACATATTATTTTCTTGCATGTGAGGCGCCCCTTGTCATGACGCGTCTGAATCTGTTTAGACCTTAGGTTGATGCTCAAGAACTTGCTGATCTTTTCCAACGATGAGTTCTTCAGGGGATTCCAGCCGCCGGCATGGTCGAGACAGGGTGACAACAACAAGGTGCTTTTCGTTTTCCGACATATCGGTTGCGCGTGCGGCAAGCGCTTAGTTCCGTAAATCTTTATGTTCTTCACTGTCTCCTACGTGCAGGTGCTGCTGCACAACGGTGCGTGCGACATCATGGTTGATGAGGTCTTGGTGATCTTGGATTGGAAACAAACGGTGGATACCAAGCCGACATTTGTTGAGCCAAACAAGATCTTTGTTTGCCGAGAGAAGTTTCACCTTTTGGAGCTGTATGGAAATACAAGCTCTGCAGTGGAGCAGCAATGAGACAGTTACCAGAGCTTGTCATTTGCTAAGTTTTGACCTGGATGGTAGTTAGCGCCCCGTGTCTGATACCATGATGCGAGTGAGGCGAAAGTCGGATCTGCTTGTTTCTGAGGGATCGAATCAGCTTGCTGATACCTTCCTGTCAGGCCAGCTTGCTGGCTTTTTTCTTGCTGTTTTTTTTGCTCGCTTTTTAGGATTGTCATTTGATGCAAATTTTGGAACCTTGAAGATGGCCCAAAGTAATACCAAACACTGACTGTACAGCGCTTTAATCTCTGACACAAAGAACAAACAGCCGAGATGAGCAGTAAGTGGCAACAATGACTTTCTGAACCAGGTGCTTGATACGTTTTCGGGCCATGGATGACGACGAGGCTGGGGATTCAGTGAGCTTGCCACCCTCAGTCGCGGAGACAGATGATGAAGCGCTGCAGCAGCAGCAAGATGATGAAGACGACGTGTCTTTGCCGCCAGAGGTGGTGGAAGATGGTTTTCCTGAGGAGGCTCAGTGCTGCAAGAGGCGCAATTGCAAATCACTCTTCGATCGAGCAGTTTTGGAAACGTACCAGGCTGAATTTTCCCATTGCAGCCAAGCCGTGCGCTTGAACAAAACTTATGAGAAAGTCCGCGATGTCTTCAAGGCCGGCGGGTCTGACACGAAGAAGCCAATGCCATGGGCACTGCTGGGCAAACCAGTGTGCAGGAAGTTCTTTGAAACAATCCATCAAGTTGGCCATGGCACTATGGACCAAATGGTTCTCCATTGCAAAAATGGCCACACATCCTGGCCGCAACAACGGGGTCCTAGACTGCAAAGAGACGCTCCTGCCACCGATACCGTGGATGTTTGGTTCATGACGGTGTACAATGACCTGGCTGAACCTCTTGCCATTCCTGGTTCGGAAGGGCGGTTGGAATCTGCTGGGCTTGAGGAACAGCTGCAGCAACATGAAGTAGTGGACGGAAATGACCCGTTGCTGTCAGTCAGTCTCAATTTGAGGCGGCACGCGAATCCAAAGACAGACCCGCATGGGCGGGTGCTGATCCCTAAAAGGTATTTGAATTTTGCAGATGAGTCTGCTCTATTCAACTTCTACCAGATCGACGAACCATCTCCGCAGCAAGTTTCCCGTAGCACCTTTCGAAAGGCATGGGGAAAATGGTCGAGGATCATGGCTTTCAAAAAACAAAGGTGAGAACAGCAAATGCAACATTTGCGCCAGGTTGACAGTCGAGCGAGCTGAAGCTGTTGAGCCATCGGAAAGGCTACGTGTCGATGCTGCAAAACGCCAACATTTAGATTGTGTTATGGCTGATCGATCAGTGAGCGTGCGATGCAACAAGCTGGCATCCCGAGCAGATGTCTGGCTGACCAAGCAGAATCATTCCAGCATGTGCAAGCTGATGCTGGATGGAATGGATCAGTCGAAATTTGCCATACCCAGAAGGAAGGATATGAGTGGCACCTCTTCCTGGTCAAAGTGCTGGCGCCCGTCCATCCATGTGACCGGGTGCATTTGCTTCGGTCAATTCGAGTATTACGCCATCATGAGACCTGACCAAGCCAAAGACAGCAACATGAACGCAACCATCACGTGCCGTGTACTCGATCTGCTTCACACCAAACTGCAGAGTCAAGGCCCGGAATACTCCTTTCCACCAGAGCTTGTGTCTAGGTTTGCTTTCAGTTTTTCATTTTGATGGTTAGCGTTGGCTATCAAGCTGTCTCAGTCCAACCAAAGTTTTGACCCAACCCTGGACTTGTTAAGGTAGTGATGTGTGACAACACACCAAGAGAAGCCAAAAAACGCATTCTATGCATCATATTTATCCACATTGGTGGGTAAGCAGCTGTTCAAGCAAGTGGAGTGCCATTTTCTTCAAGTTGATCATACGCATAATGAACTCGATCAACGCTTCAGCTCAATGGCCAGCGTGATAAAGGGAGCTGCCTGCTTGGAGGACATTGCTGATTTGGTCGAGTACTTGAAGGATCACATGAAAGCAGCTGTCAACAGAGAGATTGTGATCGAAGAGTTGACAAATACTATGGATTTCAAGACTTGGCTGGGAGATGCCAACCTACATGTCCAAGGGCTGACAAGTACCCACTTGGAGCCGCACGCCAATCATGTTTGGAGATTTACTCCCCGCGCTGAAGTGGACCCGGCCCATGGAGCTATCGAGTGCCATCACCCAGATTGGCGTGGTCTTCCGGAGCATCCACAAGATGTGATCTTGACAGTGAAGCAGTACATGAGCTCCCCATCTCCATCCCAATGTCCGCAGCTGATTCTACCCTTGGCAATAAGCGAGAAATTGCAGGAGGAGAAGCTCAAGCCTGCTGCCCAGAATCAATTTAGCGAAACCACGCTGCAGGAGTTCCGGAAGACAGCTGAAATTTTTTCCCAGCCCCCATGGTCTATGCTAAAGGCCAAATGCTTTTTGGAGGACCTGTGTGACAAGAATCAGACCTGTCACATGTATCCTGGCTACAAGTTTGAGTTCTATTTTTTCGGAGGATTTCGCAGAGCAGCGATGCCTTGAATCAGGGCGTTTGGACGCAGCTCTGCCACAAGACTTGGAAACCGCTGATGTTGAACCTGAAGCGCCTCCACGTCGTGTCATGGTTGTCAAGGGCAAGAACAAGCCGCCAAAGGCGAAAGCAAAAGTTAAGGGGGGCTGCCAAAGTTCAAGCCGGCAAAGCAGTTTTGAAACGTCCAGCCGCAAGTGGCGTTGTTCAGCCAGAGCCTATCGTTGAGGCTGGGCAAGAACCAAGACCTGCGGGTCAGTTGCTGAAACGCCCGGCCAGCCAAATGGAGACATGGGCTGACAACTCTTCATCTGCTGTTCCTGCAGGCCCTGGCGCTGCCCCAGGCCCAGATGGTTTGCCAGCTGGTTGCGAGTGGGGCTGCTCAAAATGCTACAAACGCCCTCCCGGGTGCAGCCGATGCAGGAAACTGGCCGATGAGGGCCGTCTTGACTTTCACCGTCTTGCCGATGGCAGGATCTACAGGGATCTCGCAAAGCGATGATGCCGGCTGCTGCTACAGCTGCAGCAACGCCCCGCCAGAAAATACAATAATAGTGATCGCGACAACTTGTTGTTGCGACCTTAATAGCCAGCTTGCTGGCCATTTTTTGCCTGACAGCCTCACTCACGACGTGACATGTTTTAACATTGTGACTACGATGCCTCTGCCGCTGCTTTCTGCTCATTGATTTCAGGTTCCAGATTGTATACATCATTTCTTAGTGAATTAAGAATTGTTGAAGAATTGTTGTTATATCGTTGTCCAGGCCAGGGTCGACATCACATTGTGTTTTTCGGCCAGAAACCGGTGAGCCATGATGTCGGAGACCAACTCCGAGCTTTGCAGTCCAACTGTTTCTCTACCATCAGATGTCACAGATGGGTCACTCTCATTGCCTGACTCTTGTGAGGAGCGCGCAGAATCTGAAAGTGGCCTGGCCCCGGCCCAACCGGATACATCAATGTCCTTGGAGTCGGGTTCGGATGTTGAGTTGCCAGATCCTGTGTTTGATTTCGACACGGAGAACATATCGCCAGTTGCCTCTGCCGTACCTGCGCCTGAACAAGTGGCCACACACGGGCCGCAGGATTTCAATTTGTTCGCGTTGGAATTGTTTTCCCCTCCGAGCGTGCTTCCACATGTGAGATCCGTTGGTGGCCCATGCCGGATGTCCTTGGATATCCTGACCGGTTGGAACCTGCAGCACAAGGAAGTTCAAGACATTGTTTTTGGCATGTTGGAAGCAGGCAAACCCAGAATGGTTTTTTTGTCTCCGCCTTGTACCATTTTCAGCTGTTTGCAAAAATGCTTTCGCAATTATGAGAAGATGGGCCCCAAAGTTCTGGAAGAGAGATGGCGAGAAGGTTGTGACCATATGAATTTGTCGGTGACCGTTGCTGAGCGGCAGGACCACAACGATGACTTCTTCATGTTGGAACACCCACAGCGAGCCTCCTCGTGGGAATTGGAATCCACTCAGAAATTGCGGGCTAAGCAGCGTGTAGGCAGCGTTGATTTCGATCAATGCATGCTAGGCCTTCGAGCGCCCAATGGTAAGTTGATGAAAAAAAGGACCCGCATTGTGAGCAACAATGCCTGGCTGCTATCCAAGCTGTCCCATTCCCAATGTGATAGGCAGCATGAGCATCAACCCATTGAGGGGTCGATGAAAGGTCGAAGCTTGAGTTGGTGGGCCCAACACTACCCTGATGGCCTGGTGAAAATTTTAGCAGAGAGTGTGAGCCACTAGGCAGGTCACAGACCAACTGCGCCGGATTGTGTCAGAATCTGCACAACTCACGCGTGGGAATCCTTAACCCTAGATGCGCGGATTTCCACGGAAATCTTGACAAGTCAGCTCGCTTTTTGCTTTTCAACACAAATCACCTTTTGGTTTTCCACAGGCCACTTGCGTGGATTCTCAATATCACCTGGGACTTGCGTCGATTTCCACGGAAATCTGCACAAGTCAGCTTTGAAAATTCCAAGTTGGACTTGCGTAGATTCTGTGTTTTGGGGGGCTGGCCCCGCTGCGCGGATTTCCACGGAAATCTGCACAAATCTTTCGCCATGGAGTTTGAAAGTTGAGATTTTGCGCGGATTTCGTGTCTCAGAGCTCTGCGCGGATTTCGTGTCTCAG